CTCAGCACTGGAGTAGAAAAAGGTCCCCGCGCAAGACCGGCTTCTAAAACAGCAACATCACACACACACTCACACACACTCACACACACACACACACACACTCACACACACTCACACACACAAACACACACACTCACACACACACACACACACACACTCACACACTCACACACACTCACACACACACACACACACACACACACACACTCACACACACACACACACACACACTCACACACACTCTCACACACACTCACCCACACACTCACACACTCACACACACTCACACACACACACACACACACACACTCACACACACACACTCTCGCACACACTCACACACACACACACACTCACACACTCTCGCACACACTCACACACACACACACACTCACACACACACACACTTACACACACTCACACAGTCACACACACACACACACACTCACACACACACACACACTCACACACACTCACACACACACACTCTCACACACACACACACACACTCTCACACACACTCACACACACACACACACTCACACACACACACACTTACACACACTCACACAGTCACACACACACACACACTCACACACATTCCACACACACACACTCACACACTCACACACACACAAACACACATTCACAAACATACACACACCCTCACCGATACACACACAGACTCACACACTCACGTACTCACATACACACTCACACACTAACACACCCACATACACACACACAAACACATATTCACACACATACACATACACATACACACTCTCACACACACATTCACACACACTCACTCACTCATACACACACAGACTCACATACTCACATACACATTCACACACTAACACACACATACACACACTCACACACAGAAATGCCTCCTCCGTCCAGCCTGGGCTTTGGCCCAGGAGGCCCTGGAGTGTGGGCTCGCACAGCCTGAGCGCCCGGCGGCTGCACCGCGCACTCAGAGACAGCGGAGGAGCCGGCCTGGAACAGAGGCGACGCTACGGACGGAAACAGAATTGACAGAGAAAGAAGACGAAAGCCAGCACCACCCTCCCCTCTCCCCCCAGGAGGCCGCGTGTGGGCCCCTTAGGGAGAAGCCAGGGCGCCGCGGCCTGCAGCCAGGACGTGGTCCTCGGACCAGCTCCCCTGCTCCGCCCGCGCGTGGCCCCCACACCGCGAGGAGGCCGTCCCGGGAGAGCACGCCACAGGCACAGGCCGGCGGCGGGAAGCACAGTGCTGGCTCTGGAGGAAACCATGGGCTCTACCAGCAGGGAAGGACCCGCCCAAGAAAACGGCCTCTGAGCTCCGGAGACGAAGGGAAGGGCCTAGGACTGTGCAGGAAACGCCCCGAGGAAGATGAGCTTGGGGATTGGGAACTCGGGAGACACCGGGCTGGGAATCAGACCCCGGAAGGTGGGGCGCTGCTCTGGAAACACCATTACTGACTCTGCTCCGTTGTGACCTGTTCCCTGTGTCAGAGCAGAGACAGGCCTGCTGGCAGGAGCTGCTGCAGCAGAGGCGAGAGGGAGAGGCCGTGCAGAGAACTACAGCCCCGCTGGCGGGACAGAAAGATCCCGTTGTTCAGGGTGCTTGGAAGAAACAACCGGTGGCCCCTGACTGGCTCATTGGGGCAGCCGACAGAAGAAGAGGCGAGAAGAACACTGCCCGGGTTTCGCAGACCTGTGATGGTGATGGCGCCTGTTATTGGAAGAACCTGGGAGCCACGGAGGAGGAACACGTGTGTTTTGGTGAGAAAGCTGAGCTAGTAGGTTCAGGTTTGAATACCGGGGCTGGGGGTCCTGACTCGGATGCCTGCTGCTGTGAAACAGACCACTTGGGGCCGAGTGCCTGAGGACCACCAGGCTGGCGGGGGTGGGGTGGGGGGAAGGGTCTCTCAGGGGTCTGTGTCCAGCTGGCTTGCGGGGTGCTCACTGGGCATCTCTCTCAATGCATTGAAGTGGCTGCTGGGCTGAAGGTCAAAGCTGGCAGCTTGGGGCTTCGCTGGGCAAGGGGATGTCAGGGGAGCTGGCTCTTCGGGGGCTGCTGGCCTCCAGGGCCCTGGCAGAGGCTGCCAGGCCTCTCAAAGCCAGGTCTGCCACGAGCTTAGCGTGACTTCTCATCTTATAGACAAAGTGGTCATGGGCCCGGCCACGGAGGGGACTAGAGGGAGGGGAAGAGGGCCACCTCTCCGTAGGCACAACCTTTTCTACTCTGCCGTGGTGCTCATCTTATTTCTGTGGAGAAGTATTGGGGGACAATACTGAACCCCAGCCTGGCCCCCCTGAATGAAATCAGAGTTGGAATTGTGAAGGAATGGAGCCTGAATAAATGAGTGAGTAAATAAAGCATGGGGTATTGAAATCAGCTTTATCTGATAAAGCAGAAATTATAAATCAGGATGTGGGTATTACGCTGAGTAGGATATATAAATAGCCACCCTGGAGACAATGTTTTATACGATAACCGTGCAAGTCTGGAAACTTACACACGAGGAGAATGGGTGCTGGGCCAGCCCGGCTTCTGAATGAGAAGTTAGAAGAGGTTATGTGTGTAAAAATGTTCTCCAGTGTTCACTGGTAGAGATGATAGAAATGAAAAGTGTTGATATATCTCAGGCTAATCTTTGTGACGAGCAGGTGACGCTTAGAGAACATGGCTGCTGGTGAACGTGGCTTCCATGAGCCAGCATTCCCCTCTGTTCACCTTCCTCTGGCAAAAGCAATGCTTGATCCTGGGCTGAGCTGCAAAACCAGCGGTGATTTACACGTGGAAATTGCCAGAAGATCTCTAGAGCTTACCATTTAGCTCCGATCAAAATACTAAAAAGGACGTATTCAAATACAACAGGTATTTGCAGAGTACGTTATATAATCCGACGTTAATGGCTTAAAAATAGGTAGGACATTTTATTCTATGCTTAGAATCCGTCATTGGAATAGGTAATAGAATGCCTGATTTTAATCCCACAGCATGGCTTTCTGAAGTCTAGCTGGGAGAATTCTATGTGGACTAGTAATTTCTCTGCCGTGATTTGAAGTTTTCTCCAATTAGGCGGTAAACTGTCTGCTGAGGCTGCTCTGTACATTTGCTTCCAGTGTCTAGCTGCTTCTTCTGATGGCATAAAAGGGAGCGGCAATGCCGCCAAAGACATTAAATCTTTATCAGATAATGGCTGCAAACTTATAACCATTAAGCGCATATGTGTGTGTTATTAATTTATATCTATCTATCTATCTATCTATCTATCTATCTATCTATCTATCTATCTTTCTACCCATCCATCCATTCTAATATATAAAAAGCCAGGGGCCGTCATGATTGAAACAATTGGATGGACAATTGAATACAGGCTGCGAGGGGCAACAAGGTTGGCAGGGGGCGTTAGTGAGGGATGGCCAAATGACTGGCAGCAGGCTGTGTGGGGCGACCAGGCTGGCACAGTTGGGGGCATTTGGGGATGACCAGACAGGTTGGCAGAGGGGGCAGTTGGGGTGACCAGGCTGGCAGGGGGGCAGTTGGGAGTGACCAGCTGGTGGGAGGGTAGTAAGGGGAGACCGCTGGCAAGGGGGGGGGGCATTTAGAGGCTATCAGGCCTACAGGCAGAGGTGAATAAAATATTATTGGAGGGTGTGCAGGCTGGGCTGAGGGGACTGCCCTCACTGTGCACAAATTTTGTGCACCAGGCCTCTAGTGTGTGTGTGTGTGTGTGTGTGTGTGTGTGTGTGTGTGTGTTTTCTAGGTATGGTTTTGTTCTTTAATTTGGGAAACAAAAGAGACAATAAAGAGGAAAAGGAGACAAAGCCAAGCAAACGGAGCTTTAGCGAAGGCAAGTCATCTATTCATCAGACTGACACGAATCACCACGACCAAGGCACCACCCACATCACAAGGCAGAGCCAAGTCACAGAGGCCCTTCGCCAAGCTCTGCACACATACCCGCCGGCACACGAGGCATAAGGAGGAGCCCTAGGTTAGCACACATGATTTCCAAAGCACTGTTCACAAGAAAGGAAGTAAAGCTACCTCTAAGATAAGATATACTTATATGCATGTATAGAATTATCCTGGTGAAATGAGCAAATTACAAAAGAATTTGATGGCGGAAGAGAGCTTGAAAGCTAGCCCTGTGATCTTCTGTTACCAAAAGTAGCAGCAATAATTTTTCGATGCTAAACTGTAAAGGAAATAACCTAAAGAATGAGGCATATGGGCACGCCCCTCCATCCATTCCACCAAGTGCTGGTGCGAATACAGCACGTTCGCCGGGGTGTGCAAGGCACCGCTCCTGCCAAGAAGCCCGGGTCCCACATCAAAGCCAAAACCTGAGCGTGTTCCCATAGGCCGTGTGACCCACACACGGACGCCATCAAACAGCTTTAACTTGCACAGCTGACCGTGGACAGGTCTGACCCAGCTTCCCCGTCAGCATGGAGGGCACGTGGGCGGGAGCTGCCTTAACTCTGTGCCACTTCCTGCATGATCATCAGCCCTTTCCGTGTGGGCAGCTGACTCTCCTCCTCCCCAATCAACAGCCCTGGGAGCGCCGCCCTGCCTCACGCTACGGGCCACCGAACACGGGGTACCTCTCTCTCATTGACATGTTGACCAAGCGTGAAAAGTCTCTTAACATGGGCCGTTATCGATGCATAAACCTATAGAGAACACGGATGTGCATGTATAATGCAACCGGCATGACATGATTTACTATTCTCACCACGGGTCCATACAGAAGGTCAAGACATGAAAGTCCGGCTCTCAGGCCCCCTGGACAGGTAGCAGGGCACGCCACTATGGGGGCGGGTCGCCTCCCCGATGGGGCCAGCCTCGGGGTCTCTGTGCCCCAGCATTCTGTCCCCTGAGCTGGGGCTCTGAGCTCAAAGGCCGTCATGCCTACCCCTGGCTACTCTCCGTGCCCCCTGGTCCCGGGGAGGGCGGTGTGAGTGGTAACACGAAAGGCTCAAAATCGGTTTCCATACCTGATTGCGGACTCTGTTTGGGGATTTTGGCTACCGCGTGAGGGCTGGCGGTGGAGGGCACCCGCTGGCCGGCGGGGCTGTGGGCGCTGCTGGGCGCGGCGGCGGCCGAGGCGTTCTTGCGGGGCTTCATATCCTGCAGCCACATGGGCGAGGCCTCGAAGGCCTGCATACGCCGCGCGTGGCTGTTGGCGTTGACCTTCAGGTAGGCCTGCGCCTTGTGCTCCTGCAGCGCTCCGTAGTTGGCGTCCGTCACCCTGCACTCGTACAGGCCTTCGTCCTTCCTCCTCACCTTGGAGATCTGGAGCTTGTGGGAGATGTCATTGCCTTGGACTTTCACTGTCTGGAAGATGGCAGGAGAAACAGTAAGTAAAGGGCCAGGTCGCATGCCCGCATCCCCACACTCTGTCCCCGGCTCGCTCCTGTTGGGAAATGCAAGGGAGCTTCCTGTGGTCTCAGCCAGGAAACCCCAAGGTCGTACTTATCTCAGTCTACCCCCGTGGCCGGCAAGCTGCGGTGGCTCGCGAGCCTCATGCGTAAGGTGACCAGACGTGCCCCTTTTGGTGGGACAGTCCAGATTTTTAACAATTTGTCCCACATCCCGCAGCATTTTAAAAAAGTCCCGATTTTTGGAAAGAATCTTTTAAATCTTTTGAACTTTTTAAAAAAATGCCGAGGGACACTGGAAAAATTGTTAAAAATCAGGACTGTCCCGCCAAAAGTGAGACGTCTGGTCACCTTACACAGGTGGCTCTTTGGCTCCTTGAGCGTGGCTCTTCCACAAAATACCACGGCCTGGGCGAGTCTATGTTGAAGAAGGGGCGTTAGAAGAAGTTTAAGTTTAAACCATTTGGCTCTCAAAAGAAATTTCAATCGTTGTGCTGTGGATATTTGGCTCTGTTGACTGATGAGTTTGCCAACCACTGGTCTACCCCAACTGGCTTTCACCAATCATGAGCTAATTAGTTCCATCCAGCCAGCGCCCCGACTCCAGGAGCCCCAGGTGCTGGTACCAGCGCTTCTGTTTTCCAATCCTGGGTCTGGCCGCTGCCTAGTTGGCTCAGCTGAAGGAAGCATGAGCCTGATGAGGCCAAGTCTAAAACTGACAGCGCCTCTTTTCTTCACGCTGGACCCCAACTCTGGGAGATTCCAGAGGCATTCTGTGGGTGGCTGTGACCACATTCTTATTTAACCGAGAATGAGCTCTCATCCCCACAAGGGAATGACCATTAAAGGTACCAACAAAATAGGCTTGGATATTAATGATTTTTCTTCTCAATTTTTGGGGACACTCTGACCTATGGTCATGGGGTGGTGTGACTCAGGGTGCAGACTAACATCACCCGAATTCTGAGCTCAGAGCACAACCCTGGCCATCATGGGGTTTCTATGCTACAGAAACTTTGAACACTGCCTTGTTTTTCAAAACGGAAATTGGCACTCATTTCTTCTTCTAATAATTTTTAGGCCAGATTAATAGCAAGAGTATATACACTGAGTGGCCAGATTATTATAATCTCTGAACACATAATAATCTGGCCACTCAGTGTGTGTGTGTGTGTGTGTGTAATGTGTGTACATATATCAGAGGCCGTGTGCATGAATTCGTGGCCAGATTATTATGCATTCAGAGATAATAACAATTATATATTACATAATTATATATATTGCATAATAATTATATATATTACATAATAATAATAAGTAATATATATCCCTAAACATCTTTATCAAAACAGCTAGATTTACTAGTCATTATATTATATACATGACTAGATGATGACAGATTTCATAAGACACTCACACTATTCCACACACAATATGAAAAGCAAGAGCCAGTAACGTAGAAACCTCTCTGCATTTCACGGGTGAACCTCTTCCATTATGTCTGTGTGTGTGTTTGGCTTTGGACTTTGCATTTATCTGATTTCCTGTCTCAGCACCATTTCCTGCGAAAGCAACACCCGCAATCTCCCAGGTTGTGAGCAGCCAGCGGCTCTGCTCCTGCCGGATGTCACTGCTGGGAAGCAGAGAGCAAAGAAGCACCGCACCTCCCTGATGGCACAGACTCCCGGGCACTGCTCACACAGGAACCTCTCACACAGGAACCGCTCACACATGGAACCGCTCACACAGGAACTGCTCACACAGGAACTGCTCACACAGGAACCGCTCACACAGGAACCGCTCACACAGGAACCGCTCACACAGGAACCGCTCACACATGTAACCGCTCACACAGGAACCGCTCACACATGGAACCGCTCACACAGGAACTGCTCACACAGGAACCGCTCACACAGGAACCGCTCACACAGGAACCGCTCACACAGGAACCGCTCACACATGTAACCGCTCACACAGGAACCGCTCACACATGGAACCGCTCACACAGGAACCGCTCACACAGGAACCGCTCACACATGGTACTGCTCACACATGTAACCGCTCACACAGGAACTGCTCACACAGGAACCGCTCACACAGGAACCGCTCACACATGGTACTGCTCACACATGTAACTGCTCACACATGGAACCGCTCACACAGGAACCGCTCACACAGGAACCGCTCACACATGGAACCGCTCACACATGGAACCGCTCACACATGGAACCGCTCACACAGGAACCGCTCACACAGGAACCGCTCACACAGGAACCGCTCACACAGGAACCGCTCACACAGGAACCGCTCACACAGGAACCGCTCACACATGGAACCGCTCACACAGGAACCGCTCACACATGTAACCGCTCACACAGGAACCGCTCACACAGGAACCGCTCACACAGGAACCGCTCACACATGGAACCGCTCACACATGGAACCGCTCACACAGGAACCGCTCACACATGGAACCGCTCACACATGGAACTGCTCACACAGGAACCGCTCACACATGGAACTGCTCACACAGGAACCGCTCACACATGGAACCGCTCACACATGGAACCGCTCACACAGGAACCGCTCACACAGGAACCGCTCACACATGGAACTGCTCACACAGGAACTGCTCACACAGGAACCGCTCACACAGGAACCGCTCACACAGGAACCGCTCACACAGGAACCGCTCACACATGTAACCGCTCACACAGGAACCGCTCACACATGGAACCGCTCACACAGGAACCGCTCACACAGGAACCGCTCACACATGGTACTGCTCACACATGTAACCGCTCACACAGGAACTGCTCACACAGGAACCGCTCACACAGGAACCGCTCACACATGGTACTGCTCACACATGTAACTGCTCACACATGGAACCGCTCACACAGGAACCGCTCACACAGGAACCGCTCACACATGGAACCGCTCACACATGGAACCGCTCACACAGGAACCGCTCACACAGGAACCGCTCACACAGGAACTGCTCACACAGGAACCGCTCACACAGGAACCGCTCACACAGGAACCGCTCACACATGGAACCGCTCACACATGGAACCGCTCACACAGGAACCGCTCACACATGGAACCGCTCACACATGGAACTGCTCACACAGGAACCGCTCACACATGGAACTGCTCACACAGGAACCGCTCACACATGGAACCGCTCACACATGGAACCGCTCACACAGGAACCGCTCACACAGGAACCGCTCACACATGGAACTGCTCACACAGGAACTGCTCACACAGGAACCGCTCACACAGGAACCGCTCACACAGGAACCGCTCACACAGGAACCGCTCACACATGTGATCACATGTGATTAAAAAAGTATATGTATATATTCACGCGCCAGCTCTAAGGGCCCCGCTTCCCGCGCCCAGAGGGGCAGGGGCACGGGCCGCGGTGCCTCCGCAGAGACAGAGGCAGGTCCGGGCCGGAACCTCACGCCCCCGCCCGCCGCCCGCCCGGCACTCACGCTGATCTTGGTGCCGTCCTTGTCGGGGTCGCGGTCGGGCAGCAGCTCGGCCTGCGGAGAGGAGAGGAGAGGAGAGGGGCTCAGCCCGCGGAGAGGAGAGGAGAGGGGCTCAGCCCGCGGAGAGGAGAGGGGCTCAGCCCGCGGAGAGGAGAGGAGAGGAGAGGGGCTCGGCCCGCGGAGAGGAGAGGGGCTCAGCCCGCGGAGAGGAGAGGAGAGGAGAGGGGCTCAGCCCGCGGAGAGGAGAGGAGAGGAGAGGGGCTCGGCCCGCGGAGAGGAGAGGGGCTCAGCCCGCGCCGCCGGCGGGGGGGGGGGGGGGGGGGGGGGAGAGGAGCGCGGCCGCCCCGCCTCCGGGCTGCGGGTCCGGCCTCCGCCGCGCGGGGGCGCCGGCCGCCCGCGCTCAGAGGCGCCCGGGACGCGCGGAGCCGGAGCGCGGGGCGGGGCGCGGGAGGGGGTTGCGGGGACCAGGCCCCGCCTTTGCCCGGGCTGCGTCCCCTCCCTCCGCCTCCCTCCCGGGCCTCAGGGACAGACTTTCTCCTTCTCATCCCGAAGCCCCACCGTCAGCGGCCTCTTTGGCTGAACTCTGTCTCCAACCTGCGCTCCGATCCCTTTTCCTTCCTGTCTCTCCCCCTCCGGTCCCTTCTCCTCTCCCCTCCTTCCTCGCTCTCCTCCCTCTCCCCCTCCAGCCGCGCCCCCTCCACTCGGTCCCTCCCCTTCTCCTCCCTCCCCTTCTCCTCCCTCTGTTCCCCAGTGGCCTCGGCGGCCCCCGCCCCTCTCCCTTTGCACCCGCCCCCTCTCCTCCCAGGCCCCTCCTCCTCGCCTCTCTCCCTCCTCCTGGTACCCCCCTCCCTTCTCTCTCTGGAACCTCTTCTGCCAATCAATCACGGGCGTGGGGGCGGGGGATAGAGACACCCACAGAGTCCCCCCACCCCCCCCACCCCCCCACTTCACCCCACCCCACCCCACCCCACCCCACTCTACGGTCCCTGAGACGGGGCAGCGAGTGTCCCGGGACAGATGAGCACTGAGTGCCATCACACACATCTGGACAAGAGCCGGGACTGACAGGAGGAGGCCATTCCCAGTCTGAACCAGACAGACTCACAGGCTGCCTCCTTGGTTTTCCACTAACGTCTCCAGGACACATGGAGCTCAGCCCCGGCGTCCCTGGGCCTCCCTCCGGCCAAGAGCGCCAGCGGCTCCCAAGGGTCATGGGCTTGCACCCCTGGCTCCACACCCAGAGGACCCAGGGAGGGAGAGGGCAGGGGGGCCACCCGGATCCTCTACCTGGGCGCCAGCCACCTCGGCCGCGGGCTCCGGGCCCTGGGGGCCCCGCAGGAACCACCACTGGATCTCCAGGTACACCGAGGCCGAGCCGCTCTGGAAGGCGCAGGACATCTCCACATTCTGCCCCTCGGTGGCCGTCACGTTGCGGGGAAACTCAGTGAATTTTGCTGCAAAGCAGAAACGCACCTTTTAGGAGACCCCCCGGCATGCCTGCCAGCTCCGTTTCATTTTCTTGGCTCCAAAAACAAAATCCAGAACAAACCCCTTCTCTGACATCCTGCCCTCTGCTTGGCTCCCCGCCCCCTCCCCGGCGCCTGTCTTATTTTTGGTGCCCGGCCCACATCACTCCGCTGTCCGGCAGGCCCGGGAATGGAGAGCCTGAGGAGCCTGCCCATAACTCCTCTGCTCGCCAGGCTGCTGGGCGAGGAGCAGAGCCAGCCTCCAGGTAGCCTGCAGCCCCCAGTTACCACGGTGTGTGCCAGACACACTGCCAAGGGGGTGGGTGAGGACGGCCTCAAGTTTCCCAGCCGCCGATGGTGACTGGAAACCTCCTGGGGCAGAGAATGGATGGTGACTGCCACAACACTCACTCCCGATGTGTTAGAAGCAATTAGCAATGGTGCTTCCGCACTGGAACCAGCCACACTTCCTCAGCTCCGAGGACCCCTTGCTCTCCACATTCACCTTCACGGTGCTCCCGGCTGGCAGGCCCCGGGCTGTACATTGCACCCATCCCGGGACGGAGGGACCGCACACCTGGACGCCCAGGTTGTGGTGAAGCCACTAGAGAGACCCCCCTTCCCCCACTTCTTCCATGACCGACCTCGACCCTGCGGTTTGCAAGATCCATGGACTCAGAGCAAAGCTCACAAAGATGAGATGCTCCGTCCCTCTCCAGGCCCGTCTGTGAGGGGCACGCTTCAGCGGGCGCGCTTATCTGTCCGAGGGACACTGGGGAGGCGCTGAGGGTCCCCAAAAGTAATCTCAGCAAGGCCTGGGGCTGGCGATGTACGCAGAGACAGCGCACACGCGTGGAGAGGGGTCCCAGGGGCTGCAGGACCGGCTGGGGGGGTGAATGCACGGCCCCGGCCCCCCTTTTTAAGGAGACACCACACAGTCCCTTTCACAAGCTCATGAAACCCCAGATGATTTCCAGGGACATGGCACTGCATTTACACCCAGAGGGAATGGGAGAGCCAAGAAGACGTGCTGATGGGGAAGGACTTTGTGGGGGGCGGGGTGGGGGGGGGGAAGAGGGAGAAAGAGGAGGTGGCTTTTCTGCCTCCAAGGGCTGCGGGCTCAGGCCCTGGCCCCGCCGCGAGCTCTGTTCGTGGTGCTGAAACCAGCCCGCAGCCCGCGGGGCCGCGAACCCCGGGTTCCGCAGGCTGCATCCCTGGGAATGCAAGCTCTGGGCGCCTCTCATGGACCCTCTGAGGGCCTGTCCTCTGACACACACACACACACACACACACACACACACACACACACACACACACACACGCACACGGAGTCACCGGACCCAGGAGGACGGGAACTAGAAGCCCAACTGCCTCCACGGAGCAGGGGACCGGCCTCGGGGAGCCCGGGTTGCTGGCCACGGTTATGCATGAGCCGCTACCTTATGCATGCACACAGGAGGCACACACACACACACACACACACACACACCCGTGCTTCTGCCAGGCACCGAATAGATGAAGAGATGTGCTCTCAGATCCAGCACCCCCGCCGTTCCATCAACTTTAAAGGAAAAGAAAAATGCCCAACGGAACGCGCTGGTTCCAGCGTTCCCGGCCAGGAATCTCACATCTGCCCGGATACACTGCACAGGCACACGCACACACTCACGCACACACATGCACACACAGGCACACACACAGGCACACACACACACCAGCGGATGCACGCGGCCCGGGAGCCGCACTTACCTTGGGAGGAGACCCCCTGCTGCACGCAGAACACAGAAAAGGCGACCCCGACCCACGCCACGAAGACCCCCATCTTCCAAAAAAAAAAAAAAGGGAAATAAACGGGGCTCACATCGGCGGGCGCAGCCCCGCAGCCGGAGAGGAAGGAGGGACCGCGGCGCCTGGCGGGCTCAGAGGCCGGCGCGGGGCTGCGCGCACCCGGATCGCGCTCCGCTGCGGGCGGGCGGGGCGCGGCGCGGGGCGCGGGGAGCGGAGGCTGCAGCGGAGGCTGCACCGCGGAGGCTGCAGCGGCGGGCGCGGGGGCTGGGCGGGCGCCGGAGTCTCCCGCCTGGTGCTGCGCCCCGCGCCCCGCGGCCCGGCCACGTCAGCCGGCTCGGGCTTACGTGGTCGCCGCCCCCTCCGCGCCGCCCAGCCCGGAGCGGGGAGCGGGGAGCGGAGCGCCGGTAGCTGGGCGCGGGGAGCCGGGAGCGGGGCGCGGGGCGCGGGGCGCGGGGCGCGGGGCGCGGGGATTGGGGATTGGGAATTGGGGAGCGGGGAGCGGGGCACGGGGATCGGGGCGCGGGGAGCGGGGATTGGGGAGCGGGGCGCGGGGCGCGGGGCGCGGGGCGCGGGGCGCGGGGCGCGGGGCGCGGGAGCGGAGCCGGAGCGGGAGCGGGAGCGGGAGCGGAGCGGCCGGCGGGCGGAGGACCTCGGAGGCGGCTCCGGCGCCGCAACTTTCCGTCTGACGCTGCGCGGAGCCTTAACCCGCTGCGCGCCGGCCCCCCTGCGCCGGGAGCGGGGCCGGGCTCCCCGGTCCGGGCTCGGGGCTCCGGGATCCGCTCTGAGCCTCCCGCCCGCCCCCCAATGTGCGGGTCCCTGGCTCCGGCGGCGCCGGGCGGGACTGCGGCGCAGGCTGGGGGCGGGCTCGGCTGGGGAGGAGGGGGGCGGGGGCTGGAGGGGCTGGTGGAGGGAGGCCGCGCTGGGGGATGGATGGCCGTCCCAGGGCCGCCGCTGAACCATAAGTAAGGGGCGGCCCACAGGGCCCGGCTTCCTTCTCGCCGGATTCCTCGCTGCACTGCCTCCTGGGGGGGGGGGGGGGGAGACAGCCAGGCGGGCACCCCACCACCCCAGCTGGCGAGTGGAAGTGTACTTGTGTTTATTTTTAAAACTCCCATGCCCGGCTGCCTCACCTCCATGTGTTTTGGAAGTGGGGGTGGGTGGGTAGAGTTTTAAGTATCACTAAGGCCTTCCTTGCAGGATTCATTTGTTTACTTGCTTTCCTGTGGCCTGACACAATGGTTCTCTAACGCTCCACAGGATGCTGAGGTGCGGAATACTGCTTTGGGTACAAAAAGCACAATACGTGTTGAATTTGGAACCCAACTATTTACCCGCCTTGGAGGAGCTCTGAGATGTATCTTCTTACTGAGACTTCGAAACCGGTAACATCACAGTGCAGCCTCTGTTCGTTGGAAGTCCAACCATTAGTCAGTGATTTTAAATTTTTTAACAATATTAAAACCACTCGCTGTCTAAGCAGAGCACCAGATACGTCCTTCCCTTTTATTAGTTCTATCAATACCACAAGTTGTCAGTACTTCTTGGAAACATGACTCAGTCTTAACCATGTGGCCAACCAATGCAGTAAAATGCATTTCCATTTTCCTTATAAAAATGTAGTAGTTGGCTAATCCTTTCACTGAGCAGGGGGGGAAAAATGAACCTTACCATCGTTGCTGGTTTTTAAACCAGTACCTACTGTGGAGTGGAAGTACCTTACAAGGTCAGGAACAAAGCAATGCTATTTGTTTTCTGGAGGGACATTGATTTTCCACTGTGGGCAGAGGCGGAATATAGCATTTGGAGGACGTCATGGAGATATTTGACATCTGTTCATGTGTAGGCCAACAAGATGCTATGGCCTTCCTTCTGCAAAGGACCCTGAAGTATGTCATCCCCCCAAAATTAATGTCTCCTTATGTGATAATGCGTTCAGAACACAGGACCACGCCCACGTTCACACATGCTCCCCACACTGAACATTGTTCGGAAAATAAACTCTCGGGGTGTGAGCTCCTCAGAGGAGAGCCGTCGCCTGTACGCCTCACTGGGCACACTCAATGTTTACCTCAAGACTTTGGCTTTTTTAGAGCATTCAGCGTAAACATGTGATTTGTATGTCACCCACGTGAGCTGACTTCAAGGTTATCTGCTATTGGAAGGGTTTCGGATATAAAGAAGATTGGAGGGTAGCAAAGGGGACCACATACATGGCGATGGAAGGAGTCTTGGCTCTGGGCGGTGTGCACACAGTGCAATGCACAGCTCATGTACATAGACATGTACACCTGGGACCTACGTGATCTTAGTCACCGATGTCACCCCAATCCATTTAATTAAAAAACATAAAAAAACAGAATGAGAAAAGTTCAAAGCCATAGAGAAAGGAAAAGGGCATCCATTTTAAGCAGGGGGAGTGCTGAGTTCATGGAGGAAAGCACTTCGGCTGCTTGTAAGGGGGAAGTTGGCCTCAGACGCTGCAAAAGAATAATAAACGTGAGTTTCAAGTGAAAGGTGAAGTGTGTCCAAAGCTGGTAGAGTCCAGATCAACCACCAAACACTTTACACAGGAAGTTACAACATTTAAACAAGAGAAAGAGGAAGGTAGGAGGGAGGGAGGGAGAGAGGGGGAGGATTGGAAAAGGATTTATGTTCTTTTTCTTACGAAACGTGCAGGATAGATGTTTTATTTTCGGCTTTGTCAATGCAGACCAAAAATCTTATCAAGTACCCTCTGTGGTGCCATCCCCAGGCCTGGACACAGTGCTGGTGGGCACATCTGCATTATCTCCTCGCCTCATTTAAGACAAAATGCTCTTCTAGTAACAGTTTGAAGTGATAAGAAAATTTAATTAAAAAGTAAATATATTCAGCATATCAAACGGCCCGGCTCTGAGAGGAAGTGCATTATTTCAGACCGATCCTTCTAGAACACTGCCTTCTCCCGCAGGAAGGGCATGGCCTGTTAGCGGAGACCAGTTGTCCGCGGGAGAGCCGTGTGTGCCCATTGGTCCTTCCCCAGGAGAATGCGGTGCTTTACTCTGGAGAGCTGACTGCAGACCGCTTACAGACACCCACTCAGGCACTTATGCTCCCAAACAGAATCCTACAACCTCATTTTTAAAAAGCTCTTGTCTTGCCCTCTTAGTTAACATTGGGTCATTGTTTTTTCTTTAAAAAAAATTTAAATATCTTTATCACCACAGCTATTTCCCTCGGCAATTTATGATAAGAAGGCTTACTCTTACACTTAATGTGTTCCTTCCACAGGCTTAATTAAGTCTGAGTTCATTCCATTGCCTGTGTTTGGTAGCCTGCATTTACCCTCTTTCTTTTTTCTCTCTCTTTTTTTGGTATATAAAAACTAGTTTAAATTTGTCTTTTAAACTCTACTCCCGCTTTATATCTGCAGCTGTTACGTAAGGGTTGAGAGTCACGAATCCAACAAGAGCTGAACTGGGGATGGCACTCTTCCAGTCCTGGGACTACAGACCACGTCCCCCCCCTTTCCTAAGAGGGCCTTGGATTTGGGGGGAATTCGTATTTCACTCCCATAAACACATCGTAGAATGAGTTTCCGTGTTGGACGATCATAATCCACTTTCATTTGGGCCTTAAATGCCCAATGTAAAAGAGTCTGAATAATTGAAGACTAGGCAAAACTAGGCATTAATTAATAAAATATAATATATAATAAAAGGCTAGTAAGCAAATCAACGGACAGACTGGTCTCTATGACACGCACTGACCACCAGGGGGCATATGATCAACCCAGGAGCTCCCACAGGGGGAGCTCTGCTCAGCCAGAAGCCGGGCTCACAGCTACCGAGCCCAGCAGTGGTGGCTGGGAGCTCTCCCATCTCTGCAGCAGAGCTGAGGGTGTCAGACTGATGGCTTAGGCCCTTGGGGAGCAGGCCTAAGACGTCAGTGGGACATCCCCTGAAGGCTCCCGGACTGCGGGAGGGGGCAGGCCCAGCGTAGGGACCCCCACTCCAGTGCATGAATTTCGTACATCAGGCCTCTAGTTTATTATATTTTTGTTGATTTCAGAAAGAAAGGGAGATGGAAAGAGAGATAGAAACATCGATGATGAGAATCATTTATTGGCTGCCTCCTGCACACCCTACACTCGGGATCGAGCCTACAACCCAAGCATGTGCCCTTGACTGGAATTGAACTCCAGACTCTCCAGTCCGTAGTCCAATGCTTTATCCACTAAGCCAAACTAGCCAGGGCTGCCATTGACCTTTTATTTTTGTTGTCTTGGCCTTTTGACTGTGTTTTGAATGGAAGCTTAACAATTCAGGATATGAACTCAGAATCTGGCATTTATATTTAAATCACTTCTAAAGATAATGGGTATTTGTGCAATTTTTGATATATTCCAAAATTTCCAGGAAAATATTTTAAAGCATGGAATGGAGGTAAAATTACTTCCTTGTTCTGTGTCCTATTCAGGGCACCAATAATGCTTCTAACTTTTTTCCCTTAACTTAATCTGTTCCTGGATTACAGGAATCTTAGTGATAAAAGAGGTTTTCCCACCATCTCTCCTCAGGCCCATCATGACCGTCTTCCAGTGGGAATTCTTCTCCTTGCTCCCCAGACGTATTCCATTTTGAGGAAATATTTACTGTAAAAATGTTCTTGATTTTGCTGAGACAAAAATGAAAATACTAAAGAAATAAAAGGAGGATGGAAAAATGTGATTTTGTGGGAACCTTGTCCTTTTTATAAACATCTTTTGTTCATCACCTGCCTTCCCAGATTCCCAGCTCTCTAGGAGCTCCGCGATCTAACTCCTCAGAACTGGGGGGCCATCTGGGGGCAGGGGGCACCTGTAGGGCACATTTTATAACCGTTTCAATCTCCTCTCAGGAGAGGTTGTGCTTTGATTGACACTTAGACCTGACGATGTACCAGCACTGACAATTAGCTTCGCAACCCGTGAATCAAAAAGCGAAGTCTCAAACCAGAATGGGGAAAAGGTGAATTAAATTACTATCTTAATATTGCTGAGCAGCCTCCCATTTT